CCGAAAGGCACCACTAGGTTGCAAGAATGGTCACAATGAATTCTTCTGCCCCCCACCCAAAAAATAAAAAATAAAAATAAAAATAAAAAATCACACATAAATATGGTTTCAGGATATTTTAGTACTTTTATTCACCAGAGAGATGTAAAGAAGTTTCTCTAACTCATCAATCCAACCAAAAATGTCTGTTGCTCAATGAGGACTTGTCTCAAGTAGTTTTTGCTCTTAGTGCACATTCACATACACATTCAAGCAATTCTGAAACAGTTGTGCTGTGGTGATCTTTTACAATTTATTGCAGATTCAAGATGAGATTTGTTCAGGGTTTAATCAGGACTCTTTCTAAAAACATTTATGTTCTTTTAATTTGACTTGTTTTTAGCTTCTAAGCTGCTGATAAATCCAACAGCTGCATCTGCGTTAAACAAGATTATAACGTTTTACAAAGCAGCTTGATTTTCCCTCGTAAAGCTATTCACAGCACAAAGCTACACTCGCAGAAAGGCGCAGAAAATGAATAAATCTGTAACATAAAATGTATTTTCCTACGAAACTGAACAGCAGAGAACATAAAACACACAGAGCTGTCTTCAACACTCGTCTTTCTTTAGTTAGAAAAATCAAAAGTTGGGTCATTGTCAGCAGGTGTTTCTGTTATTATTATTGATTTTTGCTGTTTAAAGAAAATATAGAATAAGGATTTGGAAAAAAATAACTTTCAAACTCATGTTTTTATTATGTAGCCAAAGTCATATTTTTACATCACAATGCTCTTGTAATAAAAAAAACTAATGTCTCTTCTCTCATCCTTGAGCACAGGAGTTGAGGAAGAGGAGTGGTCAGATGAGTTTGAGAATGATGAAGACGTATCCACTCCAGGTATGATGCCGATCATATTGTTAAAGGTGTTGCTTTTCAAACATAAAAACAGATTCAAGTATTGAATTAATAATACCACGAAGTTTTGAACATTCCAAAAACAAAAAAGTCAGAGTCATGGGCATTTTGAACTAAAACTGTAATAATATGTAAATATCTACAACAGTGTGGGTCAGACAAGATTTTTTTTGTTTATTTTTTTTAAATTATGAAATTAAAGTCATAACATTATGAGAAAAAAAGTCATAATCTCACATGACAAATTCATTTTCTGTTTCTGGGTTGGCTCGCACCTGCTGTGGACAGCCTCCATTTTGTGTTTATGAAATAGTTTGTGATAACTTTTGCGTCACGTTTGTGTAACATGTTTTCATCCACATTGTGTGACGACTAATTTCATCAATGCAGCCAATAATTGCAATGTTGCTTCAGTTTATGTTAAGAATCCATGTATTTATTTGTACAATTGTTTCAAAGTCCTTCTACTGATAACAAATTGATTCTGGTGCGTTAAAAGTATTTTCTTATTTGTAAAACTGATATCCAAATATTTAACATTCCTCATTTTAACACAGAAGTAAGACTGATTTCTTAAGTCGGAGTACCCATAATATCATGACTTTATTTGTTTAATATCATGACTTTATTCTCATATTATTATGACTTTATTCATATAGAAATCTCATATTGTGGCCCTAATACTCCGTTGTAAATCTCAGACTATAACTCAGAAGTCAAATCCATAACAGGACCAGCTTCAATGTCAGCTGGTTCCAGTTTTAAATCCCAACTCTTTCATCAAAACACAGAACATTTCTTTTTAAAACACAAAAACACATGTTCGATATTTTTTTGGTGGTGTTCTTGACTTGCTGAAGTAGGTTCAAATATTCATGTTGTTTTCCATGTTTAGCTGTAAGGAGTTTTTCACTAAAAAAGAAACCCACCATAATTGTGTTTGTGGAAAGAGGCGTGACTTAAAGGGATCCCTGATTAGTTGTAACATTAGACTTTATATGATACACATATACTTTAACTGTAAAATAAAGACTGTAAAAATACTGTAGGATGTTCAATTTTTATAATTTTTAAACTAAAAGTTTAAAAATATATTACATGGACGGGGACATTTTATTTACATGCAAAGCATTCTGGGTAAATGATGACATCAACTAGGTCATCGGCACGAGGCTGCTAGCGAGCTCTTTTAAATGAAACCAGAGAGCATTGACAGAGAGGAGAAGGTAGAAATGACTCAGCCTGTAACTGAAAATATGGATGGAGGACAACAGAGCTGCTTCATGGAAGAAGAACCTCAGCTTAGCCCATTAGCCCCAATGCTATCACCATGCATATGCATTAGCTCAGCGCTACACATTCTCCTCTCATCACTGAGGTCCTCCATGCACATGGCAGAGAGGGGAACGCAAAAATGACTCAGGCTGTTTCTGAAAATATGGATGGAGGACCTCAGTTTAGCTTGTCTGTCGCGCTAGCGCCGAGCTAATACATATAAGGCAATATAGTGTGAGGGCTAGCGCGAAGGCTAACAGGCTAAGCTGAGGTTCTTCTTCCATGAAGCAGCTCTGTTGTCCTCCATCTATATTTTCAGTTACAGGCTGAGTCATTTCTACCTTCTCCTCTCTGTCAACGCTCTCTGGTTTCATTTAAAAGAGCCAATCGTCAGATATTGTCCAAGATTTATCTTCAGGGTGAATATAGCTCGCTAGCAGCCTCGCACCGATGACCTGTTGATGTCATCATATACCCAGAATGATTTGCATGTAAATAATATGGCTCCGTCCGTGTTAAAACATATTTTAAAAAAATTACAAAACTAAACAGCCTACAGTATTTTTACAGTCTATTTTACAGTTAAATTAAATTTTTATCAAATAAAGTTTAATGTTACAACTAATCGTGGATCCCTTTAAAAACTCACTGGTTCCAACAACACAAAATGTCAACTTCTGTGAAACAGAACCTGCTGACTTTAATTTACAACATGGAGAAAATGCGGGGAATGGAATGGTAAATGGCCTGAACCCCAAAGCGCTTACGTTCACCCATTCATTCACACACTGATGGTGGTAAGCTACATTGTAGCCACAGCTGCCCTGGGGGCACACTGAAAGAGGCGGGGCTGCCATGCACCACCGGTCCTTCTGACCACCATCAATAGGCAAGGTGTGTGAAGTGTCTTGCCCAAGGACACAACAACTGGAACGGCTAAATTCGGATAAACAACGGGAATAGGGGAACGAACCAGCAACCTTCCATTTACAGGACAAGTCATGACCACAGCCGCCTCATGGAGACGAAAAAGAGAGTAAATTGTAATGAAACTGAACTCATGTGTCATGTGATTGTTGCACTTCATTCTCCATCTAGTCGCTATTAGTTACAGTCCAGCATGCTTCGCAGTTTTTTATTATTTTTCTTCTTTAGTCATCTGAATGGATAGAACAAAAAAAGCTGATCAATTAACTCATGTATCTGTACAAATGTTCCCTGCCCAAATAACAATAGGCTCTATTAGTACTTTTAACATTTCAAACACAAAACCTTGTAAAATATGTAAGTTTGGTTTAATTACCATAAAACATAAATGCAAAAATGGTTACGGGGTGGAGAGTGACAGCACCTCCATGGGCTGAACAGTCATCAGCTCACAGTATTGTTTCTTCTTCTCTTCTTTTCAAATAGCAGGTGAGCATGGGAGGCTGCCGGCTGTTTTTCAGCTTAAAGTTCTCCATCAATTCATTTTTCTTACTATTGATATTTAAGTATATTTTTATTACTGAAGGACATCAGTAGAAACGACATGCAGTGGTTTTTAAGAGGAAGAGTTTTGGAGATTTTTTTTATTGTGTGTCACTACTTTTAGCCAACTTCTCCCCTAAAATACAAGGAACACAGAGTCATGTGGTGTTTTATTATTGTCACCCAACAGGATCGTCTCCAGTGCAGTACGATGTGTACAGGATGCACAATACACTTGAGAACAGAGACGAGCACCTTTATGAGGACACACACGAGGTAAGACTTTTTTTTTCCCTACTGTGGGAATAATACCACCCATTGGGACAGTGAACAGGAGACAAAAATGTTTTATCACATTTAGTTTCTTAGATTAAAAGGATGCTTTTAAAAGACAAATTTTACCTAATAAAAAGGTACATTGTACATGAAAGTGTACAATATACCATTGTGAAGCCAGAATAGAGTCTGACAAGTTTTAAAGGCACAGTGTGTAGGATTTGTTGTTTTCAGCGACATCTAGTGGTTGAGTGGTTGAATCATCCTCCCTGGTCCTCCCCCCACCCCCTTCCAAACGCAAAGGAGTTGCTATGGTGTCTCTCAGGTGTCAAAAACCTTTGATAATTCCAACCGCGATGTCTACCAGCAGCTTCAGGGCTAGTGATGTTTCAAGTGGTAAGATTATGAGCTTTAACAAGTAAAATTATCCCAGCTACAATGACAGACAACAAATATTACATTTATAGTATTACAACTAAAACCGTTTTTGACGCCGCCACCGCAGTTCTTCATGAGCCTTCGTAGACAAGATGGCGGTGCAAGATGGCGGCTGCCTGTACTGGCGACCCGTGACCACGGAGATATAAACAGCTTTTTATAAGGTAAAAATAATAAAACAAGGTCTTTGTCTGCAATGATTAGACATGTTTTTTATTATTGTCATTAGTGATTATCTCAATTTCAGCTAAAAGAATTGACAAAATCCCACACAGTGTGCCTTTAAGCCTCGCCCCTTCCTGTAAGTGAACAGGAATTAACTCATAAAAAAAAAAAACAAACATTAAAACCACACCTCAAATATATATATTTTTACTTTTTGTTGATTTACACAGTTTCTACTGTTGCCATGGTAAAATACACATTTTTCAAACATAATTACATGACCTTTTTTTTAAGTGTGAAAGAACCAATTACAGCAAACTAACACCATGATCGTGTGTGAGACAGTAGGAGGGACTTAAAGCATCACATCTCCAGTACTCTGGTAGACACTGGCTCCAAAAATACAACGTGACAGCTCCGATAAACCAGGTCCTGCTGACTTTATTTCTTAGTATTAAGAGAAAGTCCAGCCTCATTAATTCAATAACTTGGTAGTATTATTCATATAGAGTTAATGATGCAAATTTAAACACAATGTAATAAAACTCACTGTTGTTGCCAACTTTTATAAAACCTTTACAAAATGTTTGTTGTAAAACTTGTTTACCCGAATTTAGTGTCTTTCATGATATGTGTCGTCTCAGAGATTATTTCAGCTATTTTAGCAGAGCTTTGCTTCTTCTTTTTGCAATGATTTCATCATTTTGTATGTGCTTTTAGACATTGTTGGGTCTATTTTTTTTTCTTTCTTGGATGCCTTTTTTTATTTTTCTTAAATGTGGACGAATGGGAAAAAGCTTTAAATCAATATTAAAAAAAACTATGTTTTTGTAATGTCAGGTTAAAAGCAATGTGCGGGACAGTGGACAGGGGACGTGTGCCAAAGCCCTTTATGATTACCAGGCTGGTGCGTACACACACACACACACACACCAAAATGCTTTAAAAAGTTTTTAATTTGAACTAGTTTTAAAAAATTTCCCAACAATCTTGACATTCAGATGTAATATGTTAAGTTTTGAAAGAAGTTATTTAAAAAAAAAAAGAAAAGCACAATAGATTTAGATTTTCTATTTAAGCAAAGTTTCCATTTTAAACCTATACACTTCCTTTAAAAGTGCACCTTGCCTGCCTTTCACAGCGGATGATACGGAGATCACCTTTGACCCTGATGACATCATAACTCAGATAGAAATGCTCGATGAAGGCTGGTGGAGAGGGTATGGACCTGACGGACAGTATGGCTTGTTCCCTGCCAATTATGTGGAGCTCATCTAATGTTATCAGCTGTTTGCATGTAGAATGATTAAGATGGTGAAAATATACATTTACTGGTTTTTGTAGTTTGATTAAAATCACTTTGAACAATAAAACATTTAAAACTAATTCAAATCCTGTTCATGACATGACATTTGCAATGGACACAAAATAAATTGGTGGCCACCCTCATGAGTCCCAGGTGTTTGTGTGAATTTTTATTTCCTTCATGTTAAAAAAATTGAACCCAACACTGACTGGAAGTATACAAGTAAGCTAGTCTGATGAAAGACTAGTAAGTAGGCCTAAGTAAAATTTCATTTATAGAGCACTATTCAAACTTCACAAAGAGCTGTACAACAACACAAAATAATGCAATAAACATAGAGCCATCAAATATTTCCATCCCAATATGTACAGTGGTTTGCAAAAGTATTCATACCCCTTGAACTTTTCCATATTTTGTCACATTACAACCACAAACATAAATATATTTCACTGGAATTTAATGTGAAAGACCAACACAAAGTGGTATACAATTGTGAAGTGGAAGCAAAATTTTACATGAATCAAAACATTTTTTACAAATAAAAAACTGAAAAGTGCGATGTGCAAAATTATTCAGCCCCCCTGAGTCAATACTTTGTGGAGCCACCTTTTGCTGCAATTACAGCTGCAAGTCTTTTAGGGTATGTCTCCACCAGCTTTGCACATCTAGTGACTGCAATTCTTGCCCATTCCTCCTTGCAAAACAGCTCAAGCTCAGTCAGATTGGATGGAGAGCGTTTGTGAACAGCAGTTTTGAGATCTTGCCACAAATTCTCAATTGGGTTTAGGTCTGGACTTTGACTGGGCCATTCTAACACATGAATATTCTTTTTTTTAAACCACTCCATTGTAGCTTTGGCTTTATGTTTAGGGTCGTTGTCCTGCTGGAAGGTGAACCTCCGCCCCAGTCTCAAATCTTTTGCTGACTCCAACAGGTTTTCTTCCAAGATTGCCCTGTATTTGGCTCCATCCATCTTCCCATCAACTTTGACCAACTTCCCGGTCCCTGCTGAAGAGAAGCACCCCCAGAGCATGATGCTGCCACCACCATATTTGACAGTGGGGATGGTGTTTTCAGAGTGATGTGCAGTGTTCTTTCTCCGCCACACATAGCGTTTTGCAATGTGGCCAAAAAGTTCAATTTTGGTCTCGTCTGACCAAAGCACCTTCTTCCACATGTTTGCTGTGTCCTCATCATGGCTTCTGGCAAACTGCAAACGGGACTTCTTATGGTTTTCTTTTAACAATGGCTTTCTCCTTGCCACTCTTCCATAAAGACCACATTTGTGTAGTGCACGACCAATTGTTGTCCTGTGGACAGTTTCCCCCACCTGAGCTGTGGCTCTCTGCATTTCATCCAGAGTCACCATGGGCCTCTTGGCTGCCTCTCTGATCAGTGATCTCCTTGTTCGGCCTGTAAGTTTAGGTGGACGGCCTTGTCTTGGCAGGTTTACTGTGGTGCCATACTCTTTCCATTTCCGGATGATGGATTGAACAGTGCTCCGTGAGATGTTCAAAGCTTGGGAAATCTTTTTATAACCTAAGCCTGCTTTAAACTTCTCCAAAACCATATTCCTAACCTGTCTGGTGTGTTCTTTGGACTTCATGATGCTGTTTGCTCCCCAATATTCTCTTAACCAACATCTGAGGCCGTCACGGAGCAGCTGTATTTGTACTGAGATTAGATTACACACAGGTGGACCCTTTTGAGTCATTAGCAGTCATCAGGCAACTTCTGAATGCAATTGGTTGCACTCAGGGAAAAGGGGGCTGAATACTTTTGCACGTCGCACTTTTCAGTTTTTTATTTGTAAAAAATGTTTTGATTCATGTAAAATTTTGCTTCCACTTCACAATTGTATACCACTTTGTGTTGGTCTTTCACATTAAATTCCAGTGAAATATATTTATGTTTGTGGTTGTAATGCGACAAAATATGGAAAAGTTCAAGGGGTATGAATACTTTTGCAAACCACTGTATCAGCAACAACATTGAGCCAAGCAAGAAGAAAATATAAAATGCCAACCCAAAAACAAACATTTACAGAAAAAATGTAGATAGTACTTAGGGCTCGACACACGGGCAGCGACAAACTACAGCGATTAACGGCTGTCATCGCAGCCACGGTGAAACCCGACAGCGATCGCAGCATTGCGAATTGCGCTCTCAGGTCGCTTGTCTTCACAAAATTTGATTGGTTCTTGACTCTGAAGTGGGTTGTGCATTACGTGTAAACTAAATCTTGCGAGGCAAATGATAGAAAAACAAATGCACATCAAGATATTTTTTGAGGAAAAAACTTACCATAAACTTCACCCTGGTGCCAACAAAATCCCACAAAGCTTTTTAGTAATTACGTGGTGAAAGTGTTAGCTAACGGCAGTGTGTAGCAGACTCCTCTCTTTGGTCAATGAAACCTCTGGTTGTATGCCAAGCGACAAAAGAACATTTTTTCAACTTTCATATGTCGCATCGCAAGCTAGCGTGTGCACGTATACGAGTGCGAAATTTCACATGCACTATTTTCGCCCGTTGCTGTGGCCATCGTCGCCGGCAGTCGTCCCGTTGCTGTGGCCATCGTCGCCGGCAGTCGTCCCGTTGCWGWGGCCATCGTCGCCGGCAGTCGTCCCGTTGCTGTGGCCATCGAGTGTTCTTGCAAATTCCACTTCACTGGTTTCCAGGTGCACTTAGAACAGAATTGTATTAAGGTCATTTAACATTGCAAGAGTCTGTCAGGGCTTTATTTCTAAAATCTTACCTTTTACATCTCTTTTCATCCTGGTAGCCACGGACTGGATAAGGTCACCATTTTTTTGGTTACCAATCAGCAAGAGATCTGCATGGATTATATAGTAACAGCCTCCTTTCATTTGTTAATTTGGCAGCATTTATCAGCCAACTATCACCCTTATACAATCTAGAGCTTTTTTTTTTCTAAAAAAAAACTTCCATGTAGTATCGAATGGTAAGAGGATTTTAGACATTAACCAGCTCTTCTGAATTAGAGAAAAACATTGAACTTTACTTGAAGTTCTTAGAATTATCATGACATAAATTTCATAAAAGGAGCATTTTTTGGCCATCACATTCATTTTTAACTCCTCCACTAGCTCATTTAAACACATTTACTACAACTTAAACAACAGAACACTTCACAAACCTTTGCCAAGCCACACAGCCACTGCACAAAAACTCAGAATCCAAATCCCAACAGCCTTCATGGTTCCTGACTCTGAGAGGAGATGTGTGCAAGACCTGATGCCTTAAAACCACTCTCTGGAGGCGTCTCAGCTGTAGTTCATCTGCTCTAATTGTTTCGGTCTTCAGAAAAGTCAATCGGTAAAAGTGAGTGCACATGTGCAAAATCTAAAGAACACAGAATAAGGAGGGAAAAAAATCTAACTGACAATTAAGTTTGGATTCATCACACTTAAAGTGTGATTCAGAGAAGATAAATATTTTAGATCAAAACTATATAATAGGAATGTCTTTGTATTTGAATGGAGGCTAGGAACATGTTGATATTTCAACCCCCCACCCCCCACCAAAAAAAAAACCCTAAAAAAAAAAAAACAGGAAAAGGGTTTGTTTCCTTTTAACTGTCTTCTGATATTAGTTTTGTAACAAGATCAAAGGTCCTTTTTTATAGTTAACTGGTCTAATGATGATGGCTGTTATAGCAGCAAGGCCGGGAAAAGATGACAACATCCTGTTTTGAAAATCTTGTAAAAGGCAAAGACATGAAGCGGTTGTTAAAAATGGTGTGGAAAAGAAGAGTTCTATGAGCAGTCAGTAACAGTAGGAGTCAATTAGAACAATCAAGGGAGTCAAAAAACTAACATCTACTACCTCCAGCAAATCTCAATTAAAAAAAATCATTTTAGAACAACTTAAAACAAGTATTTGCCCACATATTTTACACATCATTAGTTTGGGTAAAGTTTCTTAACTGCAAACATAGTTGCTGGTTGGATAATTCTGATTCAGATCAAGTATGTGCACCTTTCTGAACTTCAGAAGAGACTTTTGAGGCAGAATAATGATTAAAAATCATGATGTTTTTCTCTGTTTTCTCTGAAAGTGTTCCCATTGATCACAAGCAAGTCTCAGTGGTCCCAGGTCCAGGCTGTTGCTGATCAATGGGACACCTTTCAAATAATTCAGTGTAATTAGCTTCTTTTTTTTGTAATGACAAGCTTTTTGCAATACTTTTGTAATTCAAGTAATCAGTGTTTTAATTACCTACACACACACACACACACACCAAAATGCTTTAA